AATAACCCGTTATATACAAGTGCTAATATATACAAGGAAATTGTATGTACAATTGTTTGTTATCCCTTGAAAATGAATTTAAAAAAAAGAAACGAAAGTAAAAATGTAAGCAATTACTAATAAGGGCAGCCTTAACAAGGATATCCTTAAGAGGGAGCACGCCAATCAAATTTTTGACGTTGGCTCCGCCCAAATTTGTGAAACAAATATATGCCAGAAGTTCGCGTGACATGCGACAGGAGATGTTGAATTTTGCGCATTAAATGTACCAAATTCGTTTTAGCGGAATAACTCTAAAACTAAAGGGATTAAAAAAAAATCCGTAGTGACAGTTCTCGATCATGCATAAATATAATTAATTATCTAATTTTTGTCCTAATAACCTGTAGCATTTCGAGGATGAATCGAAAAAATGTGAAAATTAGAGGTCATTTCGTGATTTTTATCTATCGAGGAAACTTTATTGTTTTATGTTTCTGATTAGTGTCTATGCTTGAATATATCGTGTAGTTACTCATACAATATTTTATTTTTAACTTTTAAGTGGATATACCCCTCTAAAATCAAATCGAAAATTAGGAATTTTTCCTCTGCTCCCTCTTAAGAAACTACGCAGAAGGTTTCAAATAAACGCCTGAGATGGTAACAGAGTATTATAAAACATGTACTTTACATATTCAGTGGCATATAATATGAATATTTATGGTAAAGATATAAACATAAAATGAGGTGTATATGGAAATTCAATTCCTTCTTGACTTAAGACCACCTGGGGATTGCAAATCGTAATTATGACTGTTTTACAAACTTGATCTATTTAGCCATCGTTCGATAGTAAGTACACAATGCATTAATACATTTAAGTCATCTTGATGACCTCGGTGATTCAACGGTTTTCACTGGATGAGGGTGTACGTTATTGTTCCTGGTAGGACCAATTTGGTAAATAAACTTTTCTTGCTAGAGGCACTGAGCCTCTACCACGAGTTTACTGTGACAGTTGTCGCTAGCGACTGCGTAAATTACTTCACAATTTTGTATGGCAACATTTTGTATACAAACATTTTACACGGTCGCTAGCGATAACTGTTACTATAATCTCATGGTAGCGGCACTGGTCTGGGTGTTCTGGGTAGTATCGCGGAGTGAATTTGACGACCACCGTGGTCGAGTCGCTTGTATACCGGTTTTCATGGTGACGCCATCTCTGAGGTCCCGGGTTCAAGATTTAGAAAAACAAATCTTCTATATTGTCTCTCGTCTGAGTTGTTTGTGGTACAGCCAACTCTTTACCGTTTATGATAAGAACGGTCCAAAGTACAAAGTGTCAAGCTTGACGTGCTCTTGACTGTACGGTCGTTGTTTCCGCTTTCGCTTTCCATAAGACAAATGCTTGAGTTATATTGGGATTAGAAAAACATACATGATGTTGTCTAATACCCGTTTCGATATTTATTAATTTCGTTGGTCTGATATTCAGTATAAACAGGATTTCCTAGTTTCACACCAGGTAATTGTTGTGGTTGTCTGTCACATTATAAAGAGCATACCAAGCTTGACACTTAGTTAAGACCGTTCTTAAAACAATCGTAATAGAGTTGAATTTAAATTTCATGACCTTTGTTGACCCTATACATATATATATTTTTTATAATACCAAGTGATAGGACGAACAAGTCGTGCGCCTCAGAGCTTTAAATCGCAAAAATCTGAGGAACACTGCCACTGGGCCTATCATCCTGAGTCATACGTTGACAAGTCCCGTGTGCCTGTAATTTCCCCGACATAGTACGAACTTTTTCACAAAAAGGCTACTACTACTCGTATTATTCGTATTTTTACAATCATAATACTTCATTTTTGTTTCAAATGTTCCAAAAATCTCATTTAAGAACATTTAAAATTTACGCATCTTCATACGTGCCCATTTATCAATTTATCTGAAAAAATATCCAAGAAATTTTGTTGCCATCGCGTTGATAATATGCCCTGATGATAATGAAATACAATTGTCATACAATATTTTAAGCTATCTTTATGCAATTTTAAATTTGCCATGAAAAATGCGAAACCTGTTTAATATGAACAATTTTAAACTAGAACTTTGAAGTTTTTACAGTGTAACATGTTCGTTGAAATAAACACAAGTGTTTAAGATAAACGATATGACCTTCTGTTATAAGCGTCAGTGGAATGTAATAAAGTTTTTATTTTCCCATTAAAGAAAATGATATGGAGGAGGATCAAAAAAAACTGGCTTCAGAAACAAGAGACTGCGAACAAATAAAAAAAAACACATTAAAAAGTTAAAAACGAACTACCGCGACTCTAATGACTGCACACGAAGGAATTTAGAATAGCTAACAAAAGATCAAATAACGCTAGTCATCCGAAAAATCAATAAGGAATCCTTATAACCCATATTCATTTGATACTGTTTCAAAACGAAATGAGAAGCATAAATTCAATGAACTGGAACATCACTGAATACCTTTTGAACATGAAACTAAAACACGAATAACAACTGACGAGTTGAACGTAGATTTAATTGAATCAAAGATACATAGCGCATACAATGGCGAGGGTAAAATTGACTACACAAGTTTGAACATCGAGAATGATACAATTAGGCTTGCGGTATGGATTGCAAGCAATTTATTTAAATTTATTGACAAGTTTGATAAAGTCACCGTGGGAAAGAAGCACACGTGTTTTAAGTGTTCGACATCTTATATCTTGGATCAAATTAGAATGCGATTAGCCGGAGTTAGAGCTGATTGTGACACTGATAACGTTGAAAATTGGGGTCGTAACGTAACGGTGATTTGATAACACCTGCTAGTTATCATTCATTCATCTGGTTCTTTTTTATTTTAGTCTATGTTTACCCTACTACGTATATGATTAAAAGATTTGTACTTCAAGGAAATAAAACACATACTATGGATAATACTCGGAACTTCTCTCTGAAACCCTTGAATTACGGTATTGTATTTTATTATGTCACACACACACACTCATAGTTCCGCAATAGGGAAGTCACACACACATAAATAACCACAAATTACACCCAAACTCACGAGAGAAATAAAATTAAAAATGTACCAATATTTCTCCGGATTCGGGAATCGAACACGTGGTAAACCAGCTTGATAACCGATCGGCCACAGAAGAAATATTTGTCTGGCCTACATTTATTTCTCTCTCGTAAGCTTGGTGAGTTGGTTGGTTGGTTGGTTGGTTGGGTGATTGTTATGTCTATGTGGTTGTCTATCAATCACGTTTACGCGTTGTTGTTATTGTTTTGAGATTCGTTTCTGAATTTTGTTTGTTAAAGTCAACCAACATTCGCGGTAGCAATTTTAAATAGCTCACCGCAGCCATATTTGGGTAAATATCATGTGGCGGGTAACGGGCGTAATATGTAACTGCGGAAGAATCTTTACAGTTAAATAGATAAAGTGGACACGCCTAACATTTCGAAATGTCTTAATCATTAATTTGCGTACATTCTTCTGAATCCGATTACATATCTTCTCGCGTTTTTTTTAGTTAGTCTACCGACATATTTCATCCTTATTATTACGGAAATAGTTTAGAAATGGAACTCTGCCAGGTTTTATATTTACTAGATGAAACAATCTGAATACCTTAAAGCTCAAGCCACACAGACACGGTACAGCGAGGAAAAGCGGTCCAACGCCGAGGACGGACTTACGGGAAGGAAATGCGAACCGGGACGTGTCGCACGACAGTCACACGCGTGGTTAGCGGCGCCGCGGCGGGACGGCGCGAAGGCGGCCGGTGTGACACTCAAAAGCAACCACATTCCATTTTCTACTTACGATTTATTAATGTTACGATTTGAATGAAAAAATTCAAGAAAAAATGAAAGAATTCATACTGAAACTTAATAAAAACACAAAGTGTTGTAAAAAAGTACATCATGCAATTCCGCTAAAGCCCCGCTCCGGGACTGCGCCCCACCGTTGCCGCTCGCACCGTGGAGATTATAAAACTCAATAGAATACACTTTTACGCCCACACCCGGCTCGGGTTCGCCCCGGGCCCGGCCCGCGCTACCCCTCCAGCCGGTTTGAATGTAACATAACGTGCATAAGAATTCGAACATTACAAATATTCCCGGATCTGGAACGCTCCCGCTACCGCGTCTGTGTGGTCAAAGCATTAAGGTCAAAGTGTCAACTTCAAGGCGGTAGGTACACCTCATCCAAGACTTCAATTTTCATCACGTGAAATTGTGGGCAAATGTCAACCTATCTGAATTTAAAAAAATGACAAAGGAGAAAACATGGAAACCATTTCACGAACCTAGACAAGGTTCACGCATTACTGAAGGAGTAAAGAAAACCATTAAAAGCCCACCCAGAACAGGTGCGGCCTACATGAAACAGTAAAGATAAGGTAAACATTATTACTGGCTAAAAAGGAACCAATGCACAGAACGTGTGGCGCCAAATACTTGTCTAGATACCATTATAAAAAATTGAGACAGTTGTACAAATATTAGGAAGGAAACAAAGAATCAGATGGTGTGAAACTTCATCATCCAAAATACAGATAAGAAACTATTCAAAGAGACTATGCCGTAGAAGACAATATTGACATGCGATCGTTGGTTTTACGATACGTCGCACCTCGGTCGATGACTTGGCTTAAAGTGTATCATAGTTTGATTTCAATGTCATGTTATTTTTTGTGTTTACTGAAAATTTCCTCATAGTGATTCATAGATTTGAATGTACACATGATTGTTGTATTTTATTTCACATCAATTCGAGGTTTGACAACTGGACCACGATGATTATTGCATACGGGAAAATACATTTAATGACACTAGGATAAAATTCCCTAAGAATTCTTTCAACATCGTTCATAATACTACTAATATGAAAATAACCCATAATTTTGATATTAGTTTGAACACACCTGCAACCCAAATTAAATTTCGGATAGAGAAAATTATAGTTATTACTTACAGTGATTACTGGGAGGCCAATGCCCGCGATGTACAGCATAACATTGGTGACTGTGGAGTCTTTGAAGGGATGTTTGAGAGACTCATCATCGCAGAAGAAACCACGTTTGTACGGCTGACCCCAAAGGTAGAACACGAGGATTAAGAAACCAACTGTAACAAAGAGAAAAGCTTTCAACATGCTTGTACGCATCCAATTAGCACTACAGCAAAATATAAGCTTAAAAGCAGTTGTAATAAGTCGAATCGTTACTTTACTTTATTACAAAACTTAAATTACATTTACAGTTTTAAAAAAGTTTTAGAACTTATATTAACATTTTAAGTATCAAAAAATCGTAAAAATAATTCTCCTTGCCCAAATTGACTAAGGTGTAAAGATACTCGTATTTTAACTAACTTTTAAGATAATAAAAAAGAACATAAACTCAGGCACAATATAAATTAGAAAAACACATTCTCTCTATAAATCACGGCTGTAATTAAGGACGAAAAAAGGAGAGCAATTAAAATGAACCTTAAGAAGTGAGTAGGGAATTTAAATTAGGGCGAGTTGGAACTGAGCCATTGGTGATACGAAATTAACTATTGTTTCACAGATTGTTTGTTCGACAAACACGTCTAGGGATAGACAAAAAACAGCAGGTACAAGAATTTACGAAGATCTAACGTCTTCAGAAGAGACAGATACCGTTAACACGATTAGACCGGAGCAAATAATATTTTTTTTTTATTTGCTAATATTTTTTTTGTCAAAATTTAAGGTTATATGTCGATTAGAGTTTTACAGCACGAAACTACACAGGAGAGGTTTGGCTTGCTTTAGCAGGCTTACTTAAGCTAGTAGTTTTTTTTCGTAAATTTTAAAAAAGTTCACGTTGCTAGAGCTATTATTATAATATTTAGACGACCTCGGCAGATCAACGGTTTGAACTGTGGGCGTTGCTCGAGGAAGTCCCGAATTTGATTCCCGTTAGGATCATTTTGAGATTATCGTCAACACGGATGGAACTTACAATTTTATATGTACGTAGTTCGATTTCGAATTTCAATATGTTATGTCGCAAAGAGTTAATTGAAAGTTATGTCCATTATTAGCTGAGACACGATATGAAAGCTCGACAGGAGAGTTGAAGCAAATACCTACTCAAGTAACCAAAAATTATTATTTTGTAGTCAAAGTGTTACGTGCTAGAGCTATTAATAAATTTATTTACGTGAATTCGGTAGTTCAACTGTTAAGAATATGGGCACTGCACGAGGTAGGACCAAATTCGTAAATAAACTTTCTTAAATTGGTACCGATCTCAGTATTTTGCGTAGTGAATTCAATTGCACAGGTACAGACAATTCCCTAGATTAAAATCAAGTAATTTGTGTAGTTGTTTGCGCTTTCTTATTAATTTGTAACACCTTTTCGACTAACAATAAAGTCATTTCACTAAAATAAATCAACAAAAGAAAATAAGAACACCGATAATTTGATTCCGATTATCCCAGACACATAGTAGCAAAACTTTTATAAATCCCACCTAGTTGTACCAATATACTCCTGAATTCGCCTTTGTGAAGAATATGCCGTTCTTATAACACGATTTATTTTGCAATTTAACTAAGCGTGACAGTTTTATCGATTCTTTGTATAAATTTAAATGTAAATTGCATGTTTCTAGAACTTAATACATTATTTTCATTGTTATTTTATCTTTCACAAAATTGCGCTGTCATATTTACACGAATCAACTATTTATTCCGATCTTATTATCATTTATTTGCCTTAACTATTAGTACATTAACGAATAAGTAAGATTGATTAAGATTTAAAGTTTTCACTTTATATTAATTTTTTTGTATCTGGGTGTGTATGTATTGTATTGAGTGATGTGATGATAACTTTAATTGTTACTGTGCCTAAATATTGTATTTTTATCTTTTTTTTAAACGTATTTATGTTTAACTGTTGGTATTCCAAGCTGCGACTAAGTTCCTTACATTAGGTGTCACTTCCAGTGGTTCTATGGTACATAAACAATCAGAAAGGGCTCTCCCTCTGTTATGGATCTCGGTAAAAATAACAAACATACTTTATGTTCTATCGTTATCGAGTTATTCAAGTTAGTTACCGCTCCTACATTGAGTGCATTAGACGACACAGGCGTGGAGCATTCTAGTTTTTACTGTAATTGCTTTATGTGGTTTGAGAATTGTACAGTTATTTGTTGTTGGACATCTATTCGTTCCTCGGAGTCGATTTGACTGTTCACTTTGATGGTCTTAAACGAGCTGTTTTATTATCATCATCGTTACCCATTAGACGTATTCTCTAAGAACAGTTAATGCCATAATTTAAATACGAGTGGGGGACTTCACACGTGGTGAATCTTCTTGGATGTACAAGTTTCATCACTATGTTTTCCTTCAGCGTTAACAACAGGTATTGCTAGTAACATTCACAAATATATGCAGCTTAGAAATTGAAATCATAGGTAGATGATTTTATGATAGGGGAGGAACAAGTCGTGCGCTTGTTGGTAAGCGACACGCCTGTCCATAGCAGTTATAGCGCCGTTCAGAAGTTTAAATCGCAAATATCTGAGGGGCGCTGCCGCTGCGCCCGTAACCCTGAAGCATAAGTTGACAAGTCCAATGTACTCATAATTTCACCAGCACCCTTACCTTTCAAAACCGGAACGTAGCAATGCTCACATTTCCGCTTGGTGACAGAATTAGGTAAGGCGGCAGTACTGTAGCCCTGGATGAACTCTCTACAACGAGATCTTCAGTCAGTAAATGATAGGTAGATGTAGCCACAAGATTGGAACCGTCGACTTTGTAATTGAGAATCGTTCAATCATCAGTCTACCACCGCTCTCATCATCCATCGACATGAAAAACTTTAATCTTAAAGTAAGTAGTGCTGGCACACTGACACAACAACATTTTATAACTGAGGCCTCAAAGAAATGAGTTTATCGTTTTATTCTTGTTGCTTTATTAATTTTGTCAGTACTGTCACCGTACAGATATAACACTGAGCAAACTCAATCTTCACAGTCCATGATCTCGAAAAAGAAGGTAAAATTGGGTAGGGTAGATTAAACGACATTGATTTCAAATGGATCAACTATTGGATACTTGAGTATTTACTTGACATTGTATTGAATTGAGTTATATAAATAATGTGAATATTCTATTTGCAGTTGCAAATTGATGATTTACTTTTTATTCTTCATATTTAATCAAAGTAGCAAACAATGTATCTCGTTGGAGATATTAAAGAGGAAATAAATAAGAAAAGCATAAAAAAAAAACAATTGTTTTTATGTAATCAGAGAAACGACCTCAGCGGCCCAACGGTTTGCAATGCGGACGCTGGGTAATGAGGTTCGATTCCTGGTAGGGCCAATATGGGAAATGAACTTTTGTATATTGAATCTGGTCTGGGTATTCTGGGTAGTGCCTCGAAGTGAATTTTATTACTCTGGTACTCACAGTACAGTGAATGCGTTAGTTTCAGACCATTCGTGAGGTTTATTCAGAAATGAGTACTCATAGCTAAAATAGCAGACGAAAAATAAAAAATAAATAAATATGGCAAACAATCAATACCAATAACCTAAGTGGACACGCTAAAGAAATACCTCAATCACAATTATGTCAAAACAACTACAGAGGTCACAGCACTATGCCCATCTCTCAACAATGAAGTACTATGACGTAATAGTATGAATCGCATGAACTCGTAACACCTCGACACTCTAGTTCGAAATAGATGGCACATTTGAATGGCTTCATAAGAAAACGTATTTAACTTCCACACAGTCAACAACAGAAGTATTTCATATTACAAACAGACAAAACACAGACTACAACGATGGATTATAAAAATTTATTAGTTCTTCATACTACAAAAACTCGGTCGATTTTAACATTTAACGACTGATCTGATCGAAGTGTTTGCAAAATTAGTGCACCAGATCGAAGGAAGGAAGAAATTGTTTTATATTTATATTTAAATTTGTTCGTGTAATTTTTTTTAAACACATTCCTTATTTAACAGTATTCATAGTTTTGTGCATGTTGTAACGGGCACATTTTAGGTAAGTCTGAGCACAATTTGCAACTATTCAAAGACTTCTGAAGCGCACTGTACGGTAAACGTAACCTATGAATCACATTTGTGGTTGTCTCGACAAATTGTGCCAACGACCCGTTGCATAATGGCTGTAATCTCGGATTACGGTGTAAAGCTGTATTGCTGCGGTTTGTAATCAAGCTGTGTAGGTGTAAATTGGAGTATAAATGAGAGCTAGAACAAAGAAATTCCGAAAAGAAGGATGATGTCATAACTACGTCGACGAGAACATTTTCAGAAATGATCATGAAACCTATTTTAAAGACACCTATATTTTGTGTGAGGAATAGCAATGATATTGATGAAAATGAATATCTGATGAATAACAAACAATGGAAAGGAAAAATATTGTTGATTGTTCAGTCACTTAGGGAATTAAAAGAATCGTCCAACTATGGATGAAATCCAGAACGACAATGGAAAATTAATTAGAAAACAGAAGTAAAGAATATATTCTGAGAAATATGAAATCCGTACAAAATTCAAATGAATTCGCTTACGGTAACATTGCAAAACAGAGTTCTCCGAAATCTATTTTCTTTGCTAAACAAAACGTTGCGCAAGCTAACGCAGGTACATATAAAGTTAATAACGGTAATGTGAAAGAGACCAATTAAATGTTTTGATGCAATATACCAGACTTACAACTTGATTTAAGAGAAATAAACAGGAAACCACCAAAGTTCAAAGAATCTACGATACGACATGTTAATGTAAACGTAGAGGAACATAAAATTTACTTAGCTATTGAGTAATTGATTAGAAATCTTTCTCCTGATTGTTATGGGCGTTGCATTGATCTGTTAGTTGGTATGTTTGATGTTTGTACATTGACAAAACACTGAAAGAACCCCTAAAAAGTTACATACTTGCCATGCCTACCAGCAGTAATGTGAGAATTACTGCGATCCCGTTTTGACGGGTAGGGGCGCTAGTGAAACTACAGCAGATGGGGTTTGTCAACTTTAAGTATCAGTGAGACGAGCGCAGTGGCAATGTTCAGATCGTTGTGACTTAA